GGCCGATCCGGAACCGTTCCGGTGGGAGCCTCGAAGACGTCTCTATACTTGTCCAAGAGGTGAGAAATGCGTGGGTCCGGCGGTGACGCGGCTGGTCTGTCCGGCGAGGGGAGAGCATGCAAGAATACAAGGCCCATCTCCTCGACGTCATTCCGAGCAATGGCGTCGCGAATCCGCGCAACGGAAACCACGTGACAAGCAATCGAAGTGTGAGGGGTCGCGATCGTACATGGGACTAACACTCCATTCCGATCACGGATGTGAACGGTTCGGTCATGGAAGTTCACCGGATAGTCGGCGCTACGCAACCAAGTCAGGCCTAGAATCATGTCGAACTTGGTGTCGAGGATGTCAAAAGACACCGGCTCGCACGCAAGTGTCGCAAAGTAGACTGGAACGCCGTCAACGCATCGGTCAATTGACTTTTGCGTGGGGCCATCCGCGAGTGTAACTTGCGTAGGTTGCGTCTTCCTTCGAACGCGCGGGCCAAGACCTGCGCGGGCCATAAAGGCTTGACTCGTGAAGTTGCGAGACGCTCCGCAATCAATCAAGGCACTACAGGTTGCCTTTTCGATTTGAATGCGGATATAGAGCAAAGGTGCGTCGGTTTCGGGGTACCTTTGGGTGGCGTGCTCGCGGTCGATCTTCGCAAGATAGGAGCGGAGATCGGCAACCGCTACCCCGTCATCCGTCAACGGAGCTGGTACTGTAGTGTGCAAATAGGAGCGTAGAGTTGCCATCAAGGCGTTGCAATGCGGCCTTGGCAAGGTTCCGGTTGAGGGTAGAGGCATCCAAGCGAAGTCCTCTCTCGTGAGCGGGTCAAGCTCCTCAAGTCTTGACCACGCCGTCGAGTCCTCGGAAATCAGTGGCGAACTGACCGAGTCACTTGCCGACGGTGTACAGGCTGCGCATACGCAATCTACATGCACGTGGCTAGGCTGGTCTAATGGTGGTACCAGCTAGGCGACATAATCCTCGTATGTAGCACGAGAATCAGCGACTAACGCATGCTCCCCGGTAGTGACATCGATTGCTAGCAAGGCAACCGGGTCCGGCGGAGTGAGAAGAGACGTCGCCCCTCTCCTTGCGTAACTCAGTTTCCAGAGTTTGCTGGACGGGGTACGCGTGCCTTGCCCTTTTCGGGGCATTGTGCGGTCACATGAGTGACTCCGTTGCACCAAAGGCAGTATCCGTACTTCTGACGCAGGTCATAGACCTCCTTGGTGATCTTATATGTCGTCCATGGCTGCTGCCCAGCTCCCGTCGCTGCCGTCTCTTGTGTCGCCTTGTTCTTACGAACTCTCTTGGGACGCTTCGGCGGAAGCACTGCGACAATTTCTCCATCACCCGAGGATGCTGCTGCAGCGTGGTGGTCGTCGGTTTCCTCAGAAATCACGTCATTGTTATGTGTCGGGCGTTGATAGGCCTGCTTAGCCACATAATGCGGTTGGGATTGTCTCTCGTTAGCGGCCTTGTCGTCCGTTTGGATGACCAAGTTCGCTCGATCCAGAATGGCCTGGAATGTGGTTTAGTCGTACTCATTACCGAGTGCCGACCGCAATCCCGCGCATGATCGCGAGAAGAACTCGGATCGTTGATTTGGAAACGTCAAGTCGAA